CAGTATACAGGGCCCGCTCTATTAAATTTGGTGAATTATATATGTGTGTTGTACTATTTTCATTGTCTTGACAAAATCTAAAACTTATTTAAATAGGGATAAATAATTTTTAAAATATTTATACTGTTCGCATTACTAGAAACAACATTTAGGAAAATGGTAAACGATATTTTATAATGGGAAAATAATATTTTTTATTGTAAGTTATAGTTCGATGAATTTTGTGTTTTTAACTATTTTAGTTGCCTCAACTAAAATAAACACATTCAAATTTTGGAAAATAATTTTCGAAATACCCATGTTGTTACCACAACTAGATAAAATATTTTTAAAAATGATTAAATGACATTTCATACTGGAAAAGTAATAATTGTTTATTTATTTCATAGTGAAATAATTATTTTAAAATTTTAGGTTATTGTTCGGTGAATTATGTGCATTGAACGATATTAATTTCTCTGAATAACATAAAACCACAAATATATAAATTAAATTTAAAATATCTATTTTGTTATTATCATTGAACAAATAATTTAAAAAATGGATAAACGAAAATTTACAATAAGTAATTGTTTAGTGAATTAGATGTGTTCAACGATTTTAGTTATTTTAACTAACCTAAACCCATTTAAATATTGATATATTATTTAAAAAAATATCTATTTTGTTAATATTACTAACTACTAGATTTAAAAAAAAAGGATAAACGGCAATTTATAATGGAAATAAATTATAAAGTAAACATGTCATCAATTCATTTTCCATATATTACTTCATAGAGATATGTTTTAACTGGAGTAAACGGATTTTTTGTACTCCTAATTATTTTTTGTGCACTATTAAAAGGAAATATTAATTAATTATGGAATAAATGTCTGATTTTATTTAATGTTACGATTAATATTAATATTAGTATTCACATGAGTATTAAGATTATCATTAGCATTACCATTAGTATTAACATTAGCATTGGCATCAACATTAATATTATCATCAACATTAGCATTATCATTAGTATTAACATTACCATTTTAGAATTAGTATTAAGATTATGATTATGATAAGGATTAGAATTAGTATCAATATTAGGATTATATTTAGTTTTAGGATTAAGATTAGTTTCGTATTAGCATTAGCATTAAGATTGGTATTAACATTAGTATTATAATTAGGAGTAGCATTAATATTTATAATGACATTAGAATTCGCATTAATATATTAGGATTAGCATTAATATATTAGGATTAGTATATTAGTATTAGTTTAGTATTAGTATTAGTATTAGTTTTAATATGACTATAGTATTAATATTATTATTAGTATTAGTATTAGTATTAGTATTAGTATTAGTATTAGTATTAGTATTAGTATTAGTATTAGTATTAGTATTAGTATTAACAGGGCCGGTTTTGGGGAGGCGAAGTAGGCGGTCGCCTAGGGCCCCCGGATTTTTAAGAAAATTTAGGCCCCCCAAATTATGTTACATACACTTTATATATGAATACTTATTTTTTAAAATTTATTATATATAATATTTTGGAACATCAATTCTAAAATAAATTTAATATAAATGATCAATAAATATTTTTTTCAATTTTCTTAACCTTGGGGCCCCTAAATATTAAATTTATAATGTCTTAATTATTTATTATTATACCTAAAATAAGAATCATTATTCATTAATCTATTTAAGTTTTATAAATATTTATGAAGTTTATTTTCTATAAAGATTATACGTCACGGGAGGAAGTGAACCAGCAAATCATCCTGTTAATTTTGATTTTTTTTCCATATTTGAAGTTATTTTATGTTCATACATTTCAAAAAATGTTTCGGGGGCACTACCCTTGAACCCCCGTAATCTTTATTTCATCATTTTTAGAAAATATTATTTATATGTTTTTATTATATTTAATTTTGAACACCCTTTAATAAAATTGATTTGTCAGATAGGGACCCCGGTTTTAAGTTGTTTTTTAAATCTCGCCTAGGGCCCCTGAATTCTCAGGAACGGCCATGAGTAATAACATTAGTATTAGTATTTGTATTAGTAAGTATTAACATTAGTATTAGTATTTGTATTAGTAAGTATTATGATTATTTCTACTAGGATTTGGATTGGATTACGATTATGATTATTATTATGATTATGATTAGGATTATGATTATTATTATTAGAACTAACACTGACATTAGAATTATAATTAGAACTACCATTAGCATTAACATTTGAATTAACATTATGATTATACGTAAGATTAGGATTACGATTAATATTAGCACTAGCATTAGAACTAGGATTAGTAGCATTAGTTTAGGACTAACATTGGTACTAGCAATAGGCAGTAGAACTAGAATTACGATTATCATTAGCATTAGTATATTATGATTAGCATTAGCATTAGCATATAAATATTAGCATTATTATTAGCATATTAGTATGAATATTAGTATTGCGATATATTAGCATTTTGATTATTAATATTACTAGCATTATAATTAGAATTATGATTAGAATTAGGATTAACATTACCATTAGCATTAGTATATTAAGAATAATATTAAAATTAGTGTTAGCAATAGCATATTTGCATTTCTATAAGAATTAAAACTATGCTTCGTATTATTATTAAGATTAGGATTATAATTAGAATTAGAATTTGTATTAGAATTAAGATTAACATTAATATTAGTATTAGGATTATGATTGTAATTTTGATTAGAATAATGATTGGGTGTAGTACGTACTAGGATTAGGATTATGGTTAGGATTAGCGTTAACGTTATGATTAAGATTAGCATTAGGATTACTAATAGTAATAGTATTATTATCAGATTAGTATTAGTATTACTATATTAGTATTAGTATTAGCAATGGTAGGTAATGATAATGATAATGGTGACGGTAGTTGTAATGGTAATGATTGGTATTGGTATGACTATCAGTATTTGTATTGGTATCTATATCAATATTGGTATCGTAATGATAATAGCAATGATAATGGTAATGGTAATGGTAACGGTGTTGGTATTGATGTTGGTATTGGTGTTGGTATTGGTAATGGTAATAGTAATGGTAACGGTAATGATGTACTCGCCATTTGTATACGGAAATTAAACCTTCGATATTTAGTTTTTTTCACTTATTTTGGCTGAATTTGTTATTTACATGAAATAATTTTTTTTAAACTTTGTATTGCACATTGATCTTACTATTTCAAGAACTTTTTAAAATGAAATATTTATTTTTATAATGAATTTCCCGTGCAACGCACGGGTGAAGTACTAGTTATCTTAAATATTAAATTGAGCATTTGATAATCCAATTTTGATATTTAGCCTTGGAGTTGCGCTTGCAACTCCAATGGGTGTATCAAATGAATTATCAAACCGAAAAAGCACCTTTTTGATATCCTAAAATTAAGAATTTCTATTCCAATGGTAGAATCAAA